CTACTGCCAGTGACCAGAGTATAAGAGCTTTACATAAGGAAGCAGGAAAAAGTCTGCTTAATTTATAACTCTGCCCAGACCTCAAGAGATAGCTATTTAGTACATGACTCTATAGGTATTTTTAAATGAGATGTTTAGAAAAAAAAAACAAATGGGGGGAGGGAAGGGACTGTGACAGTCCCATTCCAAAATGCCTAATAAAGCTGAGCACAGTGGCTCACAACTGTAATCCCAGCACTTTGGAAGGCCGAGGCAGGTGGATCACCTGAGGTCAGAAGTTTGAGACCACCTTAGACAACGTGGTAAAACCTCATCTTTATTAAAAATATAAAATTTAGCCAGGCATGGTGGCACAAGACTGTAGTTGCAGCTACTTGGGGGGCTGAGGTACAGGAATTGCTTGAACCAGGGAGGCAGGGACTGCAGTGAGCCGAGACTGCGCCATTGCACTCCAGCCTGGGCAATAGAGCAAGACATCGTTTCACAAAAAGAAAACAAAAAACAAAATGCCTAACCATTCTGTTTACCTGATAATTGAAGAGTTGCAAGAAAGAATGAGATAAATGAAGATTTACATTAAAAAAAATTATTTAAAGCATAATCTTAGCTTTAGATTAAAAAGTTACTATATAACAAAGTTTTATAATATTTTTATAGCATGGGTCTGGTCAACATTCAATTGTGAAGAAGTACTTTTCATTTCCTTGAGGCTTTTAGTTCAGCAAAGATATAATAGCTAGAGGAGGTGTAAAGATAACATCATTAGCAGAAGGAAGGGAGTTCACTGACAGCTGTGTTTCTCTTTTGGAGGTGACAGCAAATGGCAAAGATCTTTGCCAGATAAAGGTTGATTGCAGAAGACTTACAGCTCGACATATGTTTCCTGAAGTACCTTAGAGTTCTTAAATTTTAAGATGATAACTGCCTTTGGGAAGTGCCAATGTAAATTTCTCTCTTCTTAAATACTTCTCCTCCTTACAAGATTATCAGAATATGTTTGACAACTTTGTGGATACAGTTATACGCCAAATAAGATTTCAGTCAATGGCAGACTGCATATATGATGGTGGTCTCATGAGATAATACTGTATTTTTTTTTGAGACGGACTCTCACGCTGGTTGCCAGGGCTGGAGTGCAGTGGTGTGATCACAACTCACCGCAACCTCTGCCTTCCAGGTTCAAGCAACTCTCCTGCCTCGGTCTCCCAAGTAGGTGGGGTTACAGGCGCCCGCCACTATGCCCAGCTAATTTTTTGTACTTTTAGTAGAGACGGGGTTTCACCATGTTAGCCAAGCTGGTCTTGAACTCCTAATCTTGTGATTTGCTTGCCTTGGCCTCCCAAAATGCTGGGATTACAGGCGTGAGTCACTGTGCCTAGCTTAATACTGTATTTTTACTGTGCTTTTTCTATGTTTAGATACACAAATACTTACCACTGTGTTACAACTGCTTACAGTACCACAACATGCTGTACAAGTTTGTAGCCCAGTTGTGTAGTAGGCTGTACCATCTAGGTGTGTGTAAGTATACTCTACGGTGTTTGCACAAGGCTGAAATCACCTGATTCATTTCTCAGAACACATCCCCACTGTTAAGCAATGCATGACCATATGACAAAATCCATTCAACCAATAAGTGTTTATTAAGCTTCTATATTGTACAAGTTTATAGCCTAGCTGTGTAGTAAGTAGGCTGTACTATCTAGGTATGTGTAAGGATATGCTGTAACGTTTGCACAAGGTTGAAATCACCTGATACATTTCTCAGAACACAGCCCCACTGCTAAGCAATGCATGACCACATTACAAAATCCATTCAACCAATAAATGTTCATTAAGCTTCTATAAGACTGGCCCACTATGAGTCAATATTTAGAGTCTATGTACCCCTGTGTCATATACAGCATGTAAAAGAATGGTAATATGCCTTCAAAGTCTTTAGCATTGAAAAGAGGCTGCTACAAGTTCAGAAGCAAATGGGTGACAGGAATTAGAAAGAAGTAGGTTAAAAAGGACATAATGAACACACAAAATCTCAAAGGACTTTATGGCTTTTTCACAAAGGATAAAAAACCCTGCAAACTTCCACTGTTGCACAGCACAATAAATGATGCAAATAATGACCTGAATTGTAAAGAAAAATTAGAATCATTTTCACTTACTTTATTTAAGAAGGTGAAGAAATTATGAAAAGTATTTTAGAGAAAAATTTAAGCTGCAGGGAAAAACCAATCAAGTATTTGGAAATTAGGCTATATGGAATTCTATTATCCAGAATAACTCATTCACTAAGAGTTCCGTAAACAAAGTTTCACTGTTACTGTGGCAATTTATTATAATAAAGAAAATGACAAGCCATATAAGGCAATTTGATTTTATTTTCCTTTGAATACATTATGTAAGTACAGGTTGAATATTCCTAATCTGAAAATTGGAAATCTGAAATTCTCCAAAATCCGAAACTTTTTGAGTTCATTGGAGCATTTCGGAATTTGCATTCTCAGATTAGGGATATTCAACCTGTACATGTATCCAAATATATATAACAGCAGGAAATATTTTATTCCTATCAAATTATTTTGATATGTTATTTGTTGCTTTATTTAACGAAGATATTGTTAATATCTATACCCAATCTGGAGCTCTATCTCAACAAATTCAGTAAATTCACATGGTAACAAGGAAACATCACTCACTATATGAGAGTAATTACTTCACTGCCAAATCAGATTAAGGGTGAACATTTTAAACTTAATCAATCTAAGAGTATAAACATTTTTGATTTTCTACAAAAACAAGTTTGACTCAATCATTTTTAACTTATCCTTTATGGCAGAAAATGAAACATTTTTATTGTACCATTTATTCAAACTCTCATGTGCTACTTATTCTTCATATATACTTAACACTTTTACCTTTGTTTTAATGATATTCATCTGAGTACATGAAAGCAACATGGGAAACTCACTCTTCTCCAAATAGCAGTTGGAAACTGATGAATATAATCTTACATTATGCCATCCTCATTTAAAAATTTTCCCCTTAAGTCAGAAACTAGGGGCAAAATAATTTTAATATTTTAATTCAGAATTATAGTTATTTAAATATTAAGACAGTATGAAGAAAAGCATAAATCAAAATCTTCAAAGCTGCCAAGATTTTACCTTTGCGTAAAATCTGAAATAGTTCTGCTTAGTGAGTATTTGTAGTTTTTGCTACCCAATATGCGTTAAGTCCCTCCTTGGGGCAAAAGTACCTCACTTGCTTCCTTCCCTACATGGGAAGCCCTTGTCAGAGAATTCCTTTCCCTTGGTCATGGTGATTACTTCTGAGATACTATTCCAGTAAGATCAGATGGTACTAAAGAGACTTTAATCCAGAACTTTTAGCTACTGGTAACTAGACATCTTGTATCTACATGGGGCCTGAGAATGGGGATGAAGCAGCAAAGAAACAGAAACAGAAAAATCAATCCTTGTTATAATATTTAAGTCCTGAATCATACTGTACCTGCAGCCCTTAGAATTTACCCAAACATTCCAATGAAAACGTTACAATACAGAAAGTATTAATGTGTTATTTCTAAACCTCCATCTAAGTCCCTCTGCCTAGGGCATCTTATTATTACTATTGTGGCTCTTTTAAGAGCCTCTGTGCCTTTGCACATGCTACTTCCTCTACCTGGAATGCACTTCTATCCATGTGCTGTGCATGAAGGCCAAGTGACATTTCTTTTGTGAAGACATCCTTATCTTGAGCTCCCATAGCCCTTTATACACACTTCTGTAATAGCATTTATTATAGTATTTAATTACTACATGTCTCTCTCTTCAAAACATTTTTTTAATATAATCACAGCTGATTTATTTAAATATATACAAACCATTCAAAATCCAGGTACCAATTTTTGCTACATAGTGGTATCTATTTTTTTCAATTTTTATTTTAGGTTTGGGAGGTACATGTGCACGTATGTTAAATGGGTAAATTGTGTGTCACTGACGTTTGGAGTATAAATAATCTCATTACCCAGGTGGTGAGCACAGTACCTTACAGTTTTCAACCCTTACCCTACTCCCACCCTTCACCCTCTAATAATCTTCAGCATCTCTGTTCCCATCTTTATGACCATGAGTACTCAATGTTTAGCTCCCACTTATAAGAACATGCAGTATTTGGTTTTCTGTTCATGCATTAATTTGCTTAGGATAATAGCCTCTAGCTACATCCATGTTATTGCAAAGGACATAATTTCATTCTTTTTTTGCGGCTGCATAGTATTCCATAATGTATATGTACTACATTTTCTTCATTCAGTCCACGGTTAATGGGCATCTAGGTTGATTCCATGTCTTTGTTATTGGGAATAGCACTGTAATGAACATAGGAGTACACATGTCTTTATGGTAGAAAGACTTATTTTCCTTTGGGTATATAATCAGTACAGGAACTGCTGGGTCAAATGGTAGTTCTGAGGTAGAATAGAACGTAAAATGTTCTATTTTAAGTTCTTTGAGAAATCTTCACTGGGGCTGAACTAATTTACATTCCCATCAACTGTGTATAAGCCTTCCATTTTCTCTATAGCCTTGCCAACATCTTTTTTTTCCTGTCTTTTTAATAATAGTCATTCTAAGTGGTCTATCTTACTGCAGTTTTCGTTTGTACTTCTTTAATAATTAGTGATGTTGAGCATTTTTTCACATATTTGTTTGCTGCATGTATGCCTTCTTTTCAGAAGTGCTTGTTCATGTCATCTGCCATTTTTTAATGGAGTTGTTTTTTGCTTGTTAAATTGCTTAAGTTTCTTACAGATTCTGGATATTAGATCTTTGTTGGATGCATAGTTTGAGAATATTTTCTCTCATTCTGTAGGTTACTTACTGTGTTGATAGCTTCTTTGTGCAAAAGCTTTTTAATTAGGTCCCACTTGTCAATTTCTGGTTTGTTGCAATTGCTTTTAGGGTCTTAACCACAATATGGTATAGGCCTGTGTACAGAGTATTTCCTGGGTTTTCTGCTAGGATTTTTGTAGTTTTATTTTTTACATTTAAGTCTTTAATCCATCTTGAGTTAATTTCTGTATATGTGAAAGGTAGGGATATAGTTTCATACTTCTGCATATGACTAGCAAGTTGTCCCAGCACCATTTATTGAATAGGAGTCCTTTCCCACAAAATTTTTTTTATGTATTTCTTTTTCTACCCTCAGTATATAACATGCTTTCAGGTACATGTTATGCATTTAATATACTGTTGATTGTTTGAGAACAGTGTCTGATACTCTGCCACGTTTATTAGATACTCCAACTCCATCTGCTAAAGCATTATTATTCGCTGATGACTATTTGGGAAAAAAGGTAAAGTGGCTAAGCTACCAGAGATCAGAAACAAAATAGGCATCTGACCAGTCTATGACTAGCTGTGTGGCTCTAAACAGATCATCTTCCCTGCCTGGGCTTCTGTTTCTTCATCTATAAACTGAGAGGACATAAGCAAATGATTTCTAAAGTTCATTTTAATTTTCGAATCCTACCTTTATAAAAGATTTAACATTACCATAAAAGTATCACATTTTTACGAGCCAGACCTATACTCCCGAAATAATCTGATATTCAAATGAATGAAATTATCATTCTTTCCATTTACCCATATAAATTCGTACTCTCTCTGGGTAGGGATATTTTCCAAAGCTGTAGCTAAAAGCTTCTTTCAAACTGTCAATTTGTCAAATTAAACCAAGGATCCAATTAGCAGTGGCTATTTCTAAGCTGTTAAGTTGTTCATTTTAACATAGGCAAAATCAGCCATCTTTATTCTTAAGCCACTTAATACTAACAAAATCTTCTTTAAATTATAAACTAAATATATTTTATTGTAAAAACAAACACAGTACCATACAGACAATATCAAGGAGAAAATAAAAATTACTTGAAATTTCACTTTCAGAGATATCTGCTGTTAGATATCTATCACATCAGGATAACTTCTACATACACACACACAGCTTTCTAGATAAATATTTTCACAAAAATAGGATAATATATCTACTATATTATTTCCTTCCTTTCTCTATTCCTCTCTACACTTTGTCAGACTTTCCAGTAAATATAGCTCTATGTCAATATTTTTAGTGATTAATATTATTTACCCAGGTTCCTAACGAAAATTCAGGTTTTTAGTTATTCTCTCTTTTTAACAATATTACAATGAACATCCGATATTCACTTTTGGCTAGGTGTGGTAGCTCACACCTGTAATCCCAGCACTTTGAGAGGCTAAGGCAGGTATATCACCTGAAGTCAGGAGTTCAAGACTAGCCTGACCAACACGGTAAAACGCTGTTTCTACTGAAAATACAAAAATTATCTGGGTATGGTGGTGCCTGTCTGTAATCCTAGCTACTTGAGAGGCTGAGGCAGGAGAATCGCTTGAACCTGGGAGGTGGAAGTTGTAGTGAGCCAAGATCGTGCCACTGCACTCCAGCTTGGGCGACAGAGTGAGACTCTGTCTCAAAACAAACAAACAAACAAACAAAAACCAAAAAAACTTTTTAGACAGCTGTCTGATTATTTCTTTCCTGTAATAGGAAGAAAAAGAAAACTGCTAGGCTAAAGGAAATATACTTTTTTTGGCATTTTAAAATTTGCAGTTTTTGCTAGCTTTTCACCAGAATAGTTGAATCAACTTAAATTCTTCTCAACAGTGATTCAGTTCCTACACATCCTTAGGAATGCAGAAATAAGAGTGTCTTTCTTTCTTTCTTTCCTTTCTTTCCTCTCTCTCTTTCTTTCTTTCTTTCTTGTTTAGGATAGGGTCTTGCTCTGTCACCCAGGCTAGAGTGCAGTGGTGTGATCATAGCTTTCTGTAACTTTGAAGGCCTGTGCTCAAGCAATCCTCCCACTTCACCCCTGGAGTAGCTGGGACTACAGGTGAGCTGCTGTGCCAAGCCATGAATATATTTTAGTCTCTTCCTTGATCACATGCATTTATTTTGTGTATGTGATATTGTAAAATACATATTTGGTCTTCCACCCCATCTATCTTTTCCTGAAATACAACTTCTAAAATCCTTAGAATCTCCAAAGTGCTGTCTTTTTGTACAGTAGTGAGTTGACTGATGGCTGGCAGACCCTGGGTAGTTTCAGGATGGGGGCAGGTCCCTGTAAAGACTAAGGCATGATTAGAACTTTCAGCCCCACCCCTCAATCTCTGGTGAGGAAAGACGGGCTGAAGGTTAAGTTGATCACCAACGGCCAACGGTTTACTCAATCATGTCCATGTAATAAAGCCTCCATAAAACCCCAAAAGGACTGGGTTCACGAGATTCCAGATAGCTGAACACGTGGAAGTTCCTGGAGAGGGCATGGAAGTTCTTCGCCCTTTGCCCCATATGTCGCCCTATGCATCTCTTCATCTGTGTCTTTTGTAATATAATAAACCAGTAAACGTAAGTAACTTTGCTTGAGTTCTGTGAGTTGCTCTGGCAAATTAATTGAACCCAAAGAGGCAGCTGTAGGAGCCCCAACTTGAAGCCGGTTGGCCAAAGAGGCTGGCACTGAATTGGGTGGGAGGAATCTTGTGAGACTGAGCTCTTGACCTGTAGGATCTGATGTCATTGCCGGGTAGACAGTGTCTGAACTGAATTGGAAGCCACCTAGCCAGTGTCAGCTGCAGAACTGATTGATTGCTTGCTGGTGATGTCAGAAACATGTTGTAAAAGAACAGTGGGAGAAACTGAGATGTTTTTCCATTTACAGTATACTTATAAAAAAATCTCACCTGGGTGTGATAGTTCACACCTGTAATCTTAGCACTTTGGGAGGCCAGAGAGGGAAGATCAAATGATCTCAGGAGTTCACCACTGCCTTCCCATCTCAGACAACATAGCAGAACCCCATCTCTACAAAACAATCTTAAAAAGTAGCTGGGTGTGTGGTGGCACATGCCTGTCCTAGCTACTTGAGAGACTGAGATGGGAGAATCACTTGAGGAGTTTGAGGCTGCAGTGAGTCATGATCAGGCCACTGCACTCCAGTCTGGACAACACAGACCCCATCTTAAAACAAAACAAAACAAAACAAAACAAAAACGTGCTGCCTCTCTTTAACTGACAGTTTATATATCATATTTTAAGAATGTAGTTTCCATCTAGGCAAAGCCATCCAGGACATAGGCGTAGGCAAGGACTTCACGACCAAAACACCAAAAGCATTAGCAACAAAAGCCAAAATAGACAAATGGGACCTAATCAAACTCTACAGCTTCTGCACCGCAAAAGAAACAGTCATTAGAGTGAATTGGCAACCAGCAGAATGGGAAAAAATTTTTGCAGTCTACCCATCTGACAAAGGGCTGATATCCAGAATTTACAAAGAGCTAAAACAGATTTACAAGAAAAAAAACAAACAAGCCCATTCAAAAGTGGGCAAAGGATATGAACAGATACTTTACAAAAGAAGACATACATGAGGTCAACAAACATATGAAAAAATGCTCATCATCACTGGTCATTAGAGAAATGCAAATCAAAACTACATTGAGATACCATCTCACGCCAGTTTGAATGGCAATCATTAAAAGAAATCCAGAGACAACAGATGCTGGAGAGGATGTGGAGAAATAGGAACACTTTTACATTGTTGGTGGGAGTGTAAATTAGTTCAACCATTGTGGAAGACAGTGTGATGATTCCTTAACGACCTAGAAATAGAAATTCCATTTGACCCAGCAATCCCATTACTGGGTATATATCCAAAGGATTATAAATCATTCTACTATAAGGACACATGCACACGAATGTTCATTGCAGCACTGTTTACAGTAGCAAAGACCTGGAACCAACCCAAATGCCCATGGATGATAGACTGGACAGGGAAAATGTGGCACATATACACCATGGAATATTATGCAGCCATCAAAAACGATGAATTCGTGTCATTTGTAGGGACATGGATGAACCTGGAAACCATCATTCTCAGCAGACTGACAGAAGAGCAGAAGATCAAACACCGCATGTTCTCACTCATAGGCGGGTGTTGAACAATGAGAACACATGGACACAGGGAGGGGAGCACTACACACTGGGGTCTGTTGGGGGGAAATAGGGGAGGGACAGCGGGGGGTGGGGAGTTGGGGAGAGACAGCATGGGGAGAAAGGCCAGATATAGGTGAAGGGGAGGAAGGCAGCAAATCACACTGTCATGTGTGTACCTATGCAACTATCTTGCATGTTCTTCAAATGTACCCCAAAACCTAAAATGCAATAAAAAAAAAAAAAAAAAAAAAGAATGTAGTTTCCAATGTATATGACTCCAGGTGATTATTCTCTTCTTGTGCCTGTTTTCTGACTTCTTCTACAGTGAATATGTATTATTTAAATTTATAAAGGGCTTCTTTTTCTTTTAAGGTGCTATCCACAGGTCATCTTGTTAATACTGAAACTTTAGAATACTATGTAACATGTTTTATCATATCATTTTTTTTCCTTAAACAAACTGTAATGACAAGTATAAGCTCAGGTCTGAGGAAGAATTTTGTATTTTTCCCTCATGTACTCATTTACATAGAAAAAAAATTCCTCTCACAGATAAGGGGCCAGGTAGAACACCTCAAAAATTCAACATCTTTTGTATTTTCTTGCTCCTTACCTTTCTTCCCTCAGATTTTTACCCTTATCGCAAATCTAATTCACAGCTATTTTCAAATGATTGCCCAAGGGACCCTTCTGTTTGTGATCCCTGCCAAGCTACTATGGTGGCAAGAAAGGTGAATTTCATAGGGACAGAATGAGGCAGGCAGAAAGTTGGCTGCTCCACTTCTCATGGAATTCTCTCTTTAGGATTCAAGTCTAACTATGATGGGCTTTCATCTTCTTTGAGGTTTAGAGAAGTACGCATTCACAAAATAGTACACATTCACATTCACATTCCACTCTTGAGAGGGACGCACATGGGCTTCTGGCTGTAACTGTCAAAAAGGAATGTGTAATATAAACAGATCTTTTACTAGAAACATTTCACCGTATGAGAGCAATAAAACTATTGTAATGAACAGCCAAGATTTGGAAATATATTTAATTATGACTTTCTGAAGCTAGAGTACTTGTACAGTATTTTTAGGAAACCAGAGGCCAGGTGTGGTGGCTCACACCTGTAATCCCAGCACTCTGGGAGGCCAAGGCGGAAGAACTCCTGAGGTCAGGAGTTCGAGACCAGCCTGGCCAACATGGTGAAATCCTGTCTCTACTAAAAATACAAAAATTAGCCGGGCATGTTTGCGCACACCTGTAGTCCCAGCTATTCAGGCGGCTGAGGCAGGAGAATTGCTTGAACCTGGGAGGCAGAGGTTGC